ATTTTCTTACCAGTTCTAACGAAGTATTTTTTATATTTAAATCAGTTGGCACTTGAATCCACAATTTTCGCGGCATTTTTATGCTCGTATTTTTGGAATCAAGCACAACACAACAAAGTATCTTATTCCTGCAAAATCGGCAAGCGTTTTCACGCGAAAATTTAAAACGATAGATTAAAAGTAATTTTTATGGCACTATTCGGTTTAAAAAAATTATAGTGGTTCATTATCACTCCAGGATTCATTTAAAACACTTTTTGAAAATAGGCGTAATACCCTATTGGTAGAACTAACAGATTCTCTAAGCAATAATTAATGTTAGATGCACTATTAATAGCCTTGCTTCTCTTTTCGGCTTCTTCTGAGTAACTATACTCAGTTCAATCCTAAGCTTTACGTAAAGAGTCTACTGCTGTGTAGATGGATTAACGCTCCTTTTAACCACTGGTTTGTACAGATCTTACATTATTAATTAGTGTAGTACCTAGTTATGTGTTTCGTATCAAGCTGATAGTTGACGTCCGATCTGACTATTACTAAAAGGATGATATATATCAATATTCAAAACGAACCAGGTTCGGGGGTCCTCTTGATCCGGCCGCGAAGGACCAATTGAAAAGGAACCAAATGGGTGTAAACGCTCAACTAAGAAACAGAAGGGGGAATCGAGGCTTCTCTCGATCCGGCCTCCTATAACGCCTACGTTGGGTTCGGGAACAACGTATGTGATCTCCGCAACGGAGTAACACACAAGGGCGATAACCTCTTCCTTTTCAGAAAATAGGTTCAGGCGGGGATTACGGGTCTTCCGAAGTCATCCCGGCCCCAGCGCCTTAATTCTTCGATGTGGACTGTATAATTTTGAGGGATGAACTTCTTGGGAATAAAACAGCAATATCTTCAAACCGTTCCGTGAGAGAGTAATAACTTTTCCCTACCACTTCCCTACACTTTTTCTTTCTTCTTCTTATTGACTGTTGGTCTTGCACTTATCCCGAAGTTTCTCCGAACTTTCCCGAAACTTCCCGAAGGATTCCCGAACGAATTGCAATAAAACTCATTTACTGAGCTACCCCAGAGCAATACGCGAAAGTGAGCCGCGCCATTCGCGCGCTTGCGCAACTCAATTACATGAATTTGTTCTATTACTCTCTCACGTTTTACTTAATTACTTTATTTGCATAAGTCATACATCAACATAATTTACCTGTATAGATAGCCACACAATATCTACACTACGATATAGATTACATTTTCATATCACAAAAAAACCTTTTATTTATTTAACAAAATATGCCTATTTTACTCACAAGTTCAAAGTCGAAATTTCTTAAATATTTAACATAGAAAGTTAAAACAATGTTTTCCACTTGAAATTATACATAAGTTAACCAATACAACAGTTTAATTTACATTTTCTCTATTCATTTCACTATTAAAACACTTTTAAATTTCTTATACAAAACTATCATTATTTCACTTATACACAGGAATTTTCACATAAAAATAACACAGAATTCACCTTTTCAGCACGTAAAATCAACCTGAAATGTTTTACAAGTCATTTTTACATAAATTGCTGAAATTACAAATATTTAAATTTTTACATATTTGGCCTCCTAAGGGCGTAGCTAGCGCGCGTCCGTGAACTCACACTATTTGAACAACTAACTTTGCACGGCTCTCGACTATCAGAAAAAATGAAAAGTCTAATATACACCAATATCGACAGTATTAGGTGAATAAATGCTTCTACACAATTTTCAAACTGTAGGAAACTATTTCTAATCAGATTCTTATCAGTTATCATGTTTCTTATCAGATAACAATATAAGTGAATGTTCTCATAAATCAATCATAGCAAATAGGCATTTATTTTCATACAAAACATATCAAACTCATATAAGGCAATACTTATGCAATTAATTTCCGTTAATTTTATTTATGCACAGAGTGATCATCTCGACCGGGGAACAAATCCGATCTCTAACTTCACTTTAATATTCCTTTGAATTTACATCATTGGAAAGATGATTTCAACCGGGGAACAAATCCGGTAGCATAATTTATATCTTAAAATTCTGTTCATATCTTTAATTCGACATTCTTTAAGATTTAACTAAGCATTTTCTTTTTAGAACATTGCTATAGGACAATTTGCCTTTTAGAAGCTATTCGTCATCGGTTGACTTAATAAACTGAAATATTCTTATAGGCGCGTCGCCAACAAATATATATATATATATATATATATATATATATATATATATATATATATATATATATATATATATATATATACATGATATATATAATAAGCAATAAATTATAAACATATAAACGGGTGCTTGCATACAAAATGTTTAAATAAATTAAAAACATCTATAATTTGAGAAAAATAAAAATATAATAATATAGCCCAGAATAAAATGAAACATAAAGGGATATTATAATACAAATACAAAATAGCACTTATAAAGCGAATGAGAGAGATAAAAATGTCAGATGAATGTCAGATGTCAGGTGGAATTATTCTTGACTGCTAACGGACATAGCGTTCCAGAGCTGGAGACTGCACAGTAAGACGAATTAAAAAAAAAACGGTCATATAAAATACGATTTTTTTAGAATACGGGAAATTGATCGTAAGTTTTTTTATAGCATTGGGTGACTAACGAACACATAAACAACCTGATAGTAAGCGAATGCTGTGGCCCGTAGACATTCACATTTATCTTCAACTAAGTATCGAAATGCAAATGCGTTGTCACCCCTGTGGACTAAGATGGAATGCCCCGTTTCCAGTAAAAAGGGTCCTCGGTTCTCCACACTCGCTGGTATTCTGTAAGAGCGTGGTCCTACACCGATCGAGCCGACCCATTATTTTAGTAGAATAAATATACTTAAGTTATAAAAAATAAGAAGGAGAATTTGAGTCATACAAAATCGAATATAGTACTAGTAGTACTAGATAATATTATGTCCAAACCAATTTCATTCGACTTAATAAATATTGCATAAATATATCCTTGATTAAGTATTCATTAAAATTCATTGTTTGACAGAAAATACAAATTGCACAACATTATGTCAACATTACAAAGAATAGCTAAGCATACAGCACACTGGCAATGCAAGTCATTTAATACAACATGGAGCCAATTAGTGGCATGAGTTAATATTCATTTTTAAAGAATTCATAATATCACTAACACGTGTTGATAAACGAAATCATATTCTAGAAGTAGGAAAACTAAAATTATCGCAGCAAATACCCAGTCAGAGGAAAATCAATAAAGGAGCTTTAACCTTGCCTTGACCCTTCAAACCTTATACCTGCAGTTATAGTATGTAGTGTTTGAAAATTGCCAATAATATTAAATAAATATGTAATGTGATGACCTCGTAAGAGAATTCATTATCACATTATGCGATATGGTAATGAATCTTGATGTCGGTCAACTGAGGTCAACGTAAAAACTGCTATTTCACCTCATTGTAACTCAAACATACGAGTTTTGTATCACTCATGCGTATATTGGTAAGCACCTTTTATAATTATGCCAAATTATAATCACATATTCTCGGAAAAAATTGACAAGCAAGTACAATGTTCCATTTCCAACGGAACACTAAGGTCCGGTTTACATTTTGAGAAGTGACAAGTGCGAGTGGCAAGTGCAACTGACAATTATAGTCATTTGTCAGTTGCACTTGCCACTCGCACTTGTCACTCCTCAAAATGTAAACCGGGCCTAAAAATATTATGGTTTTCAACAAAGGTCGCAAAATCATCTTATCATAAAATCATCCTCTATACATAGTTAAATGAGCTAAGAGGCATTTCACTTAAAATCCTTAGGTTGTACCGTTTGCATGGAACTGACTGCACGTGCAGGGGCTGCAGTGACTACGTATAATAATATTGTATTTGGTTTTAACTAATATCGACTGTTGTATGAAAATTGGGAATTAAATGGCTATTATTATTATGGGGTATCTATATAGTTTTATTATTATTATTATTATATTGCTTCCCGAACAAAAACGAGTTTTTGACAAAGTATTAGGACAAATTGAATCTGGAAATGGTGCACTTTTCTTTTTAGATGCCCCTGGAGGAACTGGGAAGACATTTTTGTTAAATTCATTATTAGCGCAAGTACGGAAAGATAAAAACATTGCTGTGGCCGTAGCTTCCTGCTACGCTGCTAAGCGGGGGCCGCACTGCACATTCTGTTTTAAAACTCCCTCTAAATCTAGCCCAGGAAGAATCGCCGATCTGCAACTTTAGCAAAAATAGTACACGAGGTATAATGCTACGACAATGCAAACTTTTAGTGTGGGACGAGCTTGACTGTGATTCGAAGTCACTTGGGTCGTAATTAAACCAGTCTATGAATTCGTTCTTTGCAAAATAATTCCCAAAGCTTTTCCTAATTATGCCAAAACTTCGTAGGTTAGCCTAATGGCTGGCAGGGTGTTCATGTAGAATTCTGTAATTGTATAATATTTATTATGTGATGTGATTGATATCCGCAAGAACATTATCAAGATTAGATTAGGTAAACAATTCTTTTTTTAGTAATGCACAATCGATATGCCACGGAAAACTAAAAATATTGTGGTTTTCTACAAAGGTCGAATAGCGATCCAAAACATAGTAAAATGGGCTCAGAAGCATTCCACAAAAATTTCTCAGGTGATACCTTTTTGCATGGAACTGGCTGCAAGTGTCCAGGGGCTGCGGAGGCCACGTACCATCAAGTTGACTGTGATTAGAAGTCACCCAAGCAATTCGCAAATGTTTTCTTAAATATGCCAGAACTTTCGCAGCTTAGTCAAATGGCTGTCAGGGTATTCCTATGGAGTTTTACGTTTCTATAATATTTCTGTGTTAATGATAGTGTGGTTGAACTCCGCGAAAATAGCACCACCATAGACAGAAGAGATTAAGTAAAAAAAACCTTTGTTTATATTAATACTAAGCCGATACTTACAGGCTCCTGTAGCGTGGGTTCTTAGTGGTGCCTCCCGAGTATCCCACGCGAGTCCGAACTACGCCCAGCGTTGCGCCGAATAGTGAATCGTTGGACCAGAAGCATCCCATGCCGAATGTAGCCTTCTTTGTAGGGATGTCCACATCATGAAGAGGCGTTACCTGTACGTAATTCATATTCAATTATAGCAATTTAAGAAAGTCTTGTTTAAGCGTAATCACTGACAATGAAGATTAATTTAACGTAAGTTTCTTGCGAGGTTAACAGTATTTCCTGTTTCTGGATTTGTATCTTTATTTATCTGTATTATACTCATAAATTCGGATACTTAGCACGATCAAACAGTCCCTGATCTAATTTCCGTTGTGTTGTTGTTATCTACTCTTTTAATCTTTGATTTCGATTTATCTTGGTTATAATCATAGAAATTACAGCAATTTTCAAGGTGATGACATTTGATTATTGTAAATTACTGACTTTATTATCGCCAAAAAGAAACAAATTACAATGATAGTGATTTCTTATATTTAATTACCCATATGTACACATTAAATGAAACTTGGTTTTCTAAGAACTTTATAGCGATTAATTATTTTTAAGTTTACGACGTTTTGAGTACCTACATCCTTTCCAAAACACATGGTCATAGCGGGATAAAAAGCGCAAAAAGAACTATTTTTGTATACGCAATAAATAAGTCACTGAAAAAATATACCATAAATTCGTACAAAGGTTCCATATATTGAAATATTTTAGACCTAAGTCATTAAAGGCATTCCATCATAGCCCTCAGGTGCTTTTATATTGATTCTTAGTCAAGAATAAAAATTTTGCCACCAATTCGAAAACCTAAATAATGTAACTTCAAAGGATTATCATTTCAATTCCATTACACACTCAATAAAAATGATAATCCTTTGAAGTTACACTATTTAGATTTTAGAATGGGTGACAAAATTTTTATTCTTGACTAAGAATCAATATAAATTAAGAATCAATATAAGATGATAATATTAATTTAGTGTGTAATGTATCACAATATTGTTAGTATTTAAATATCGTTAAAAGATAAAGGTGCTGGTGAATGACTGAGCATAGTACGGTTACAGTGGATAGTTTGTAAACACAGAACAACTATGAATTCATACGGAATATCTTAATTAATCTAAATGATACGACTTAGAATTCTAAATGAGCAGTGTTATCAATCGATGTGGGTAATTCCTAACAATGATCATCTTTGAGAAAGCGTCAGCGATAGGCGAACTGCGTTGTAATGTCATCGCCAGACCCCCGTACGTATAAGATTAACGCGCAATTTGTAGAATACACGTGTTATTATTTATTGTTCTCTACCGTACTTCACTACATAAATTAACTCGTTGTCGTTATTTTTGCGTTTAAAAATCCCTTCATATTATTATTTTATTTGCGCAGATTTTGTATTTGTTGTAAACTATAACCCAAAACGGGATAATGAGCTAATGAGTCAGTTGCCGATCTTGTCGGCCGATTTGAGACAATAAAGATGATGTTTGTCGCGAGCTTACCCTCTGAGCTACGACTGATTAATAGGCATTACTTTCTTTTAAATTTAAGAATATAAGTATTTATATTTTATATATATACTGGGATGATATATTTACCGTCTGGAAAAAATAGGGTGTGACAGGTGAACGGAATAGAAGCCTATGGCACTAATATTCTACAATATTTTTTTCTTTTAAATTGACATATTATGAAATTGTTCTATCAATAAATAATATGAATTGGGTGCGTATTATTTTAATTTCGATAATTTTTAATTGATTTATTTATTTAGTTCAAAATTTTTGTTATTTTTTTTAGTACCGAAAGTTTATTTCAAATTAGTAGTATTTATTGATAGATCAATTTCATAATATGTAAATGTAAAGAAAACAACTGTAAAATATCAGTGACATAGGCCTCTATTTCGTGATACAGACAGACTCCTAGACAGAAAAGAAGTCTTGCCCTAGTGAAAACACACGCAAATAGTCAAAACACACACAAATAGTCATGCATCATCATTGTTAACCATTGACATAACAACAAAAAAGTGCTAGATATACGATAGAACGAAGATAACGGGGGACCTACGCCACTCACCCTTCAGCCCAGACCTGGCCCCAATTAACTATTATTTGTTTCCAAAAATGAATAAAGAACAGCGTGGAAAATTTCGGCCTATTTTTTATAGAATAAGGGTGACAAACGAGCACACAATCAACCTGATGGTAAGTGTATATTGTGGCTCATAGACATCTATATTTATTCTCGAATAATAATCAAAACACAGATACGTTGTCACCCTGAGAACTAAGACGGAAGGCCTCGTTTCCATTAAAAACGGGTCTCCGGATCTCTACACTCACCATTCGAAACACAGCAGTATTAAGCTGCTATTTTATGCTGGTATTCTGTGAAAACGTGGTCCTCCCCGGTCGAGCCGACCCATTCGTGCTACAATCATAATATAGTTGCATCGTGACTCTACCACGTATAAAATGCCCAAGACAATTTTTTTTAGTGTATTAATAAGTTATTTGACAGATCTAATAAATGTATTGAAAAGAAAAAATAGTTTAATGTTTCATTTCATTATCCTTCTCTGACATTCCGCGAACTTTTTGACCTCTCCTCGTAGCTCACAGACTCTCTGGCCACGAGCCCTGAGTCCAATGAAGCTGTAAAGGCCAAAAGGCTTACAGCACTAACATCACAGAAACTAGACTAGAGAAGTCTCCTCTAAGGAGTACTGTGCACTCATTGTTTAGTATTGGTTTAAAGAGAACATATGAACTTAATTATAGAGAGAGGCATTTGATTTCAGTCCGCAGGAAAGACACCCAACTTTACTTAAAGCCTTTAAGTATCTAAGAGGTTCGGCAGTGGCCGCTATTCCACAGGTGGTCTTCAAACATATTTGTCACGTTAGTATTAAACATTTGCCGAAAATTTTTTTTGAATATAATCGTTTCCAATTGTCAATGGTTCTAAGGGTTAGTATATAAGTGTCTTTCAGTCGGTTCTATTTGTGTCAGCAATTGTGATGATTGAAACTAATCTGTATAAATACTTAAGGGGAAATATAATGTCAAATGGCTTAGCAAGATCCTTCGTTATGCCGAAAATATTGCAGCATTAATTTTGAAATAAATATATGGTAAAGTTGAGGATTAATGTTAGTGATTATGTTAGACGAAAACACGATTTCGTAAAATTTTCTCCAAATTTACCTCCAAAATAAACAATAAACCGCTGTTATTCATAAAATACTTTAAATAAGATCATGAAACTTTGCATATTAACTGAACTAACTATAAAGCAAAGCGCTTATGTTATTTACTTTTTTAAAATACCATTATTTTCACTGTAAAAAGAAATTACCTAAACTATCGGCGTCTTGAGCTTGATTCCTGTCGTTCCGTTAGTATCGCTTAGGCTTTTGAAGGGAGAAGTTGTGTCGCTTACGATCAGAATATACATTACGCAACAGTACGACGTAAAATTAAAATGGGAAATAACCGTGATAAAAATAAGAAGCGGTTGGCTTGGCTTTAAGAAACAGGCATAAATATGATAAACCTAAAGAAATAAGTGTCTAACGACCTTTCTACTTACAGTATTAGTGATTACAAATATTTCGGTACATAGCATACGACTCGCGGGGAAGTGGGGGCGAAATTAGAATTTGAGCTGATTTACTCTAACCTCTTAATGGGTAGCACGTGAACTCACTCGCACGTGACTGTGCATTACATAATAGAGCTTTTATATAAGAAATACTAGCTGGTACACGACGCGTTGTTGCCGCAGAAGTAATCATTGTAAAAATATCGTTTTAAATTTGGAAGTTATTTCAAAAAAAAAATTGTCGGTACGACACGCGCGAACCTACTGTAAGTTAATTGTACTACGTCTATAACCTTCGCCCAAGTGCAAGCAATAAGTGGACGAGGTTTTACCGCAATCTGATGAACAGGACCTATGGTATAAATATTACGATACGCACGAAATACGAACAAATAAACATATGTACATTTTTTTTATAATAGAATATGGACCGGCATTTGACATTTTTTTTTCTAAATATTTTACTTGTTTACATTACTGACTTGTGTATAGTTTACATATTATGTGACATTTATAGTTGTTATTATTGTTTTATAAGTATTTTATCACTTTTAAAGTGATAACTATTCTCGATTAAGAGCAAAAAAAAATTTATTGGCATAATAGCGATTGAAATGGCGCGGAATCTCTTATGACTCCATTATATGGCCAAAATTTAATTTAGTGTAAAACGAAAAATCGACTAAGTTTCAAGACTAGTTTTCGACTGTTAAATGATGCAAATTCAATTAATATTATAATAAATAATTTATTACTTTGCAACCTTCCGCTAACTAATTACAATGATGTGTCTTACCTGGTTTGAAGAGCATCTTCTGCCCTCCCTCAATTGTATGCACTAACTACGTCACCACTAGTCCCAGCACCACTACTCCCAACACCACTACTCCCGGCACCACTACTTCCAACACCACTATTAAGTAGTGGTGTTGGTGGTAGTGGTGCTGGGACTAGTGGTGACGGAGTTAGTGCATAAAATTGAGGGAGGGCAGGTGGTGCTCTTCAAACCAGGTAAGACACATCATTGTAATTAGTTAGCGAAAGGTTGCAAAGTAATAAATTATTTATGATAATGGATTTCCGCAAAGTAACGCCTGATTCTATCAATTAATATTATAATGTAGTTAGTAATGATGGATAACTGCGTATTGGCGGTGGCGGTCTAAAAACGTCAAATACAAACCAATCCATTAAAAACGCATTTACAGAGGAAAACTCAAACAGAAGGTCAACAAGCAGCATTTTCCTGTCAACAACTGAAAATAATATAAAAACGGCGGTTGCCAAGTGTAAAGCGTGGCTACCATGGTAAAATCCTTCATATGAGGCAATGTATGTAGAAGACCTTTCACCAGCTGTGGACTTAAGATAGACTTTAATGTATTGATCATGGTGATAGCTACCCAAATAAAAATACATTTTCATGTTTTGCTTTGGGTATATTGGTATATGTGTTTGCTGCTGAAGTACATGATATCTGGTATCATTACCTATCTGTACCTGACGTAACGCTTACTTATGTGAGCAGCTTACTTGTGTATCCGGTGAATGAACGAAAACAGTCGATAAACTGTGCTGTACCTGTATTCGATAATGACAAATTAAAAGCTATATTGGAAGCGGATTTATCATGAACCAGGGTCAAAGATAACCAAAACGCGAATAGAGTTAAGAGTAATAATCAAAAGAAGCTGCTTGTAAGTTAAGGTTGACCTGTGTATGACAGAAGGACAATTCTCGCTATCAAACATACGCGACATAAATTGTTCTAGATGAGTCCACTAGGTAGGAAATACTTCTCCACAATAACATCATTCAAAACACTGCTCAACACTGAGACAACCCTCAAAAATACTTTCCGTAATCCGCCGCGATAGCCTGCTATAGCTTAGCTTCTAAAAGTTTTCATCTATTTTTGGAATCAAAAGAAAATAGGAATGAAATGAGAATTTCAACTCTAATCATAAGGCGAAATCGCCACCTGAAAAATCATCGATTCCCGTCTCTCATTTATTATCCTACGAGAAGCACCCATTTAATTTCCATTTAACGTCGACAATAATAGCAGACGCTGATATAACTACATATAACAGACATTACATTAAGAGTCCGAATATAGCATGTTCGTTTTTAGAATAGAATAAATATAGAATAGTGGATAATGATCGTCTGGAATTCCTGGCTGATTTTCGATTTCACAACAAATAAACATGTTTTTGGGATAAATCTCCCCTTCTAAACCCTTGACTCTGCACGCCTGGTATAATAAATAAATCATGTATAATTCAACATGATGATTTTTTTTTCTTAATCATCAGTAGAGGTGAGTGTTTGTGGATCTGCTCTCAAACGAACGTCAGGCGGACGAGGAACGGCGGTTACTATATTCACTTAAATATATCGATTCCTATAAATGCCTGAATCTTTTTAGAGACGCATTTCATGACATAATACGCATAATAAAAATGCCTGTGCCTACAAAGTAACGTTCGCTTTTGCAGGGAGTCATCTTCAATTATGGTTTATTGCGTTTAAATACATATTTGTAATGTGACACACAGATGTGGTCTGCGGTAGTCCCACAGAGTACCTTTGTATAAACTAAAAGGTAGTCCTAAGCTCCTAAGACCGTACTAAATATACTTACATATTTTAGCAATAACAAATTTGTACCATGTAGTGGCAGCATACAACAACAAAGCCGTGGTAGCTCAGATGGTTAACGTTCGCTGTAAATATAACAGAACGCGAGTAACCCGGGTTCGATCCCCGCCGGCACCAATGAAATTGTTAATTGCAATTTTAAGTGCTGTTTTACCACGTGGTCGGCGGTGAAGGGAAACATCGTGAGGAAACCTGCATGTCTGAGGAATAAGAAAAAAAAATCGAAACATGTAAGTTCGCCAACACGCATTGGGGCAGCGCGGCGGACTCTTCCTTGCCCTAAAACCCTCTCACAAATGAGGTGAGCCCTGTGCCCAGCAGTGGGACGTATATGGGCTGTACACTTTACTTTGCTAGTGGCAGCATATGACAATTATTCATCCTAGTTTCTGGAGTCACCATGTCATAAGCGGCGATTTACAGCAATGCTCATAATTTTGTGGTGATAATGCAATTACTGAATCGGTCAATATCGAGTCAATATAATACTAATTATATATAATACGAATTGGTTAAAGTAGTACTTAACAGTCTACAAACGTCCCACTCACGCCTTCTTTCACATTTCTAAGGGGCTTTTAGTGCTAGTTCATGGACTTCATGACTTCGTCATCATCATCATTATCATCATCATCATTATCATCATCATCATTACAGTTCTTCACAAGTCCACTACTGAACATAGGCCTTCCCCAAGTAATGCCACAAAGCACGGTCCTGAGCCACCTGCATCCATCGACTTCCTGCATGTCTTAAAAGGTCGTCACTCCATCTAGAGGGGCGTCGTCCTGCACTACGCCTACCGGTACGAGGCTGCCACTCGAGAACCTTTCTTCCCCATCGGTTATCGGTTCTTCGAGCTATATGGCCGGCCCATTGTCACTTCAGCTTACTAATCCGTTGGGCTATGTCGGTCACTCTGGTTTTACTGCGGATATTTCTGAGTTTATCAAGCAGAGAAACCCCAAGCATATCCCTCTCCATAGCTCGCTGAGCGACCTTGAGCGTCCTCATACGGGCAGCAGTGAAGGACCAAGTCTTAGATCCGTAATTCATCACTGGCAACAAGATGTTTTCGTCCACCGCCGAGTAGATGATCCATCAATAGCGGCTTGTTCGCATGCCATTAGCTTATTCCTTGACCTACTGATCGTAAAAAAATAATTTGCAAATCGTAAAAGCTATTTTAAATTTTAATGTACCATATAATTATATAGTGAGTGGGTTAAATTGTTGTACTAATAATGTCAAAAAACATTAATGTCAAAATACCGTTAAGGTGAATCGATCAATCGTATAATAAAGTCGCGAATCGATAAAACAAAAACAGCACCACTAAGGGATTTAAAAATTTGTCTCTATTTGCCATTGTTGACAATGTGTTGAGTAACTAACCTAATAAACTTTTTTATTGAAATCGAGTATTATTTTACTTAAAAACACTTTAATTATGTTTAAAACTTAATTCCAAAGCAGAATGATATTTTCTCAAAATAGTGTACCTAAACAGGTAATATTTACTCTTTTAATAAAATTATGCAGTTTTATACAAGTCAATTATAACCGGGTTATATCAAAATTATTTCAAATTGAATTCAATGGTTTAAGTTATTGATTCAGAAATTTTTAAATAATTCTTATAAGTTAACTATAACTTAATAACTGGAAATTGAAAACTTACGTTTGTTGGTGGTTTCATTGTACAATATTTTCTTATTAATTTAAGCATGTACTATTTGCCGTTGTAGTTGCTCAGTAGCTTAGAATTGTTTATATTTTAGTATAATTATTTAAAGTTTTTTAATTTATCTTTAGCACGAGACAACTCGTAATTTAGTTCGTGAATATAATATGAGGCCGCGACACGTTAACTTAACTAAGCGGGTCGGCGAGCACTGGCCACAGATTACTAAGAACTAAGAGCAACTAAGAGTATAATCGTAGACAGAGAAACCTATAGACTAATGATTAGCGTGGCCTCGAGTGAGAAAGGACGATAACGTAGTTTTAGGTTATACAATAATCTTTATAACTTTTCAACATATTTAGATAAAATTTAAACGTATATTTATAGAATTCTGTAACGAAATTTAAAATAACAATTGAATTTTATACGTAATACCAGATAATATGTACTATACTTACGAGTGAAATGATATACCGGTGAGTTTACGTTCACTATCACTTTTACATCCTAAGACACTACATCTAAAAAATTTCAAAGTTTTGAATTGTTCTAAGAAGTGAACAAAACAAGATTCACCACTTTTAAGCTCACAAAACACTTTTTTCTCACTTAAACCAACTTGTAAACTTCTTAGATCGCTACGAACTATCAAAGTTGTTTAGCAAAGTGCAGTTTGCTAAACAAAAAAAAAACCGGCACTGAGAAAGGGACAAACAATCACACCGCGCTGTCTCATTTCTATGCAAGACGAATGCATAAATCTATCTTTTTCGTGTGCAAATGCGAAAGAAGGCGTCAATTTGTCTATAGGTTTCTCTGTCTACGAGTATAATATATATTACAAAGCCGTAGACAGAGAAACTGTCTACGTACAGAGCTCTGGTCATAAATAAAAAAATAGTTACTCTATTTTTCTGTCTACGCTCTGTACCGGGAGGAGTTTTGGCGGGAACTTGGCCGTCGACGGATTGTAGCTCCTATTTTGTCGCTTGAATGGTTTGAAGTGGATTTTGATTCGTAAAAGTGATGCCATTTTATAAATGAGGTGTATTCGCGTGTGAACTATTAGAGAAAACGACGAAACAAATGCTTTGATGTTATGTCTTGGAAAGTGATCCAATGCGACTAAGGCGAATTAAGCGAAGTTATTTTGATCGCTTGGGCGTCTTATGAACTTGAGTGGCTGTCGACGCATCAGCATATTGTGATTTTTTTTAATAAAAACGAAGATTCCGAAAGAAGCACTGACCTCTATATATATATATATATATATATATATATATATATATATATATATATATATATATAAATATATATATATATATATATAGGCTCAGAAGGGCTGAAACCCGGAGCCATAAAGCCAGTTAATAAAAAAAATCTGTACTGAGCATGGAGGCATGGAGGAGAGAGAAGGAGAACGATCGCTGTAGAAAATAGTGTCCCAGAAATATGGACAAAATAAGTGGGGCACTACGATCGCTAAGCTACCTCAATAAAAGTCATTTTTAGTCTATTTTTTAGATCAGATCCTAAACCACTTACACATGTCCACGCACAATACAATATTTCAGCATTTTTTAATGTTTCTTTTTATTCAAAAATAAAAAAATTATAGAGCACGATTATTTTCTCACTAATGCCGCGAAAACAATTTGTACATTATTCAACTAACTTCATCTACTTGTACTCATAAACAGCTAACTTCGCAGATACTACTTACCGACGGCAGTTCAGTGACAGGCGGGCTATGCTTTAGCAGGTAGCGATCTTTCTCCTTCTCTCTATCCTCCATGGTACTGAGAGAAGAATGCACTTAGTCTCTATGGAAGAATGTTAACTCCATAGGAGTTTTGGCGGGAACTTGAACGTCGACGGATTGTTGCTCTTGCTTTATTGCTTAAATAATGATTCGAAGTGGATTTTAATGTGTGTATATATGTATGTATGTAGTGATGCGATTTTGTGTATTAAGTGTCTGCGCATGTAAACTATTATAGACGAAACAGGTGCTTCGATGTTGATATAAACATGAAGTTATTTTGATCGCTTAGACACCTGAAATCGTCGAAATCTCCCAAAAACTTCGCAATGTGACGCATCACTATATTGTGAAGAAAACATCTATAAAAACGAAGATCCCGAACGAAATGAAAACATGGCATAAACGACAAGCATCCAAGCCAATAATCGTAATTAAACAAAGCTATCTCCATAACCATAACCACGAGTTTGCACTGACGAGATTTTCAAAAAAAAAACATGTTTAAAACACTGTTTTCTGACAAGGCCGTAACTAGGGGGGATCAAGGGGGATTGATCCCACCTATTGATTTATCGAAGTAAATATTTGTGTACAAATGGAATTAATACTTGGCTGATTTTTAATTGGTACTGGTCAGTTCAACATTTGATAGTGGCAAAAAGGACATAAAAAAATACATTATTCAAATATTTATTTAAAAAATCTAAACCTGGTACTGGTAGTGAAGGTTCTACTGAAAATGAGTGTTCAAGTGTTTTCGACAGTGATACTGCTACAAGTAGTTTTGGTACTTCTGCTGCCGTTCCTGGGACGGTGGATGATATTTCTCAGCATGTTTTAGATGTGGGCTATTATACTGGATCAAACACCAAAATTGATGATGATTTAAAGTAAAGACTGTTGAAATTTCCTTGGATACCAGAAAAGACATTCAAGTTTTCAGTAAGTGACGATAAACGAAAGCTAAAATTTCAAATGCAATGGTTTGAACGGTTCTCGTGGTTGGTTTACACGAGTATAGGACAACGAGGTGCTTTATGCAAATATTGTGTATTATTTGCCAGAGATTGCGCAGGTAAAGGCTCTCATCAGCAGTTGAAATTCTTAGTTACTCAGCCGCTCACTAAATGGAAAGATGCTGTACATGATTTCAAACATCACAGTGAAAGTCAGTACCACAAATCTTCTGTGCTATTCGCTGATAATTTTATGAAGGTGTATAATAAATCTCAACCAAATATAATAAGTCAGATTAATAGCGGATACCTAGCGCAAATAGCTGAAAATTTCTCATTCCGATTATTGAAACAATTAAATTATGTGGACGTCAGGAATTGGCACTGAGAGGTTCGTGCGACTAAGGTGCAATAGAAATCAATGATGCTGAGCCAGAAACAAATGATGGAAGCTTTCGTGCTATCATACGGACGAGAAGCAGATGTTGATACTCAAATCTAATAAAGCACACAGAAAATATGACTTTGAACGCTACCTACCTAAGCCACAAGCCAAACTCCACAGGCTAGGAACATTGACTTATATATTACTAGCGTAAGGACCGGGCCGACCGAACAGCTAAAACAGACCAGTGCGCTGGCCCTAAAATTACAGTTTAGGGCCAACGCGAATCGGTCGACAGTGGTGCGCGCGCAGGACAGTTTTGTCTGTCATAAATATGTCTAGTTGCGTGGTAAAAGGATGCAAAAATTACGATACAAATTAAAAAAGGAACATATCCCACGTTCCTTCATCGTATCATCGGTTAATAACCTTATATTATTTTTTTTACTATTAAATTATTTAATATAAACGAATTTTAGTTTGATTTTACAGTTTGTTTAGTTACGGTACCAAGATAAGGCCAGGGTTGGATTCAGACCCTCAAAAATATTGTACATGAAAAATAAAATTAAAGTATTTTTAAAAAATTATATCACATTTGACGTTTCATGTTTCTTTTTTCCCATGTGCCGGGATTTTTGGCGTCACGCGTCTAGTTTATCCATACGTTTGGGTTTTTGACGGTTTTATTTTTATTCCTGTTTTATTTTTGTCTATAAAACTAAGTGTAAGTTAAATTTTGAATATTGGTGCCTAATATATTTTATATTCAATAAGAGTAAACCGAAAAGAGCACAAAAGAAAGCATATCTGCTTAATTAAAAAAATTTGATTCATAAAATATTTTGAAATTCTGTTTTCAAACCGATTGCTTCTGTAGTATTGAATTTTTATGATGGTAACTCATCATTATAGTTGTATCAAGGATTCAACATAAATGCATCGATCGAGCATCGATTGAGCAGAAAGGGAGCTAATTTTAATTTTATTAAAAAACGCGGTACTCATGTACAATACAGAAATTCTCGATATCGTAGAGTTAATATTAAAAAGTAAAATTACCCAATAATAATACAAGTCGACTTTTAGGTAAAATTATGGTATTTTCGCTTAGTATTATTACGATACTATATACTACAAACTATGAAATAATGGTACAATTAGGATAATTATACTACGAAATCCGACCCTGGTGCCGTCGTGTTATGATAAGACGTTTGTATTATGACAGATGCGCTAATTTTTCTTGTATGAAAAAGTTATGAGTAAAATATTTAGATGGGCCTATCCTCACTTTTGAAATCATTGGCTAGGAAAGACTAAACGGTTTGGCGTTAATGTCAATTCACCGCGGAATTGACATCGACACCGAGGAGTTAATTGATTTGTTCACTGCAAAGAAAGCTAGAAGAATAAATTTAATTTTGTAATAAGGTGTTAATATTTCTGTAATGGTTTTCTGATTAATATATATGATAAGTAGCACCATTTTATTTCCTTTATTAAAACGATTTTAAGTTTTTCTACTTTTAATCACCCCCCCCCCCCCCTACTGTTTCTAAAATAAATATTTATTTCAGAAACAGCTTGCAAGCGATCACCTCGTTCCCAGGAGTTATTATCAACTATGTATTCATTTATATTATAATAACCTTTTTTATAGTTTTTGTTTGTTTAAATTATATAAACTTGGTAATAGAGAGACCTTGTATATTTTCTGGGACTTTGTTGTAATAGCGTATACATTGCCCCAAGAATGAATTACTGACTCTATGAAGTCGAAAAACTGCTATCACCAGCTTATGTTTGTTCCTGGTGTTTACAGAGTGTACATCACCTTTTTTTTACTAAAATCACCTTTGGAAAATTAAATCTGGTGCAAGATGATAATTAAAAAAAAGGAAGT